GGGTTCAGGGTTTGAGGTTTAGGGGTTTCGCGGTTCAGGGTGTAACTTTGGTACAACCACACTGCTCGATGGTAGGTGCAGCCTTCCATGATCCAAAGAAGACTGGACTGATCTCTCACAAAAGTCTCCGTGCACCCTAAACCCTAAACCCTAAAACCTAAACCGTCGCAACATGTCCAGCGAGTGCAGCAGCCGCCTCTCAACGCTGTGATGACGCCTAAACCCCTAGGCCCTAAACTCTAAATCCCAAATCCGAATACCGAGCCCACAAGGACCATTTACAAAACACAAGACCTCGGAATTTTGCTCTAAACCCTAGGGCTCTTAAGAGCTAGCTACCTAAACTGCGGGATTTTGAAACATTGCAACTCTGAAATCGAGCTGCAAGAAGACATAAACCTTGGTATTGTTCTAACATGGATGAACTCCAGGTTGGCCCGATAAAGAGCTAAGAAAAGAATGCCCAACAAGGGAAGAATCCACGATCCCAGAGTCCAACTCGAAGTCCTAAACCCTAAACTCCTAAACCCCAAAAACCCCAAGCCCCTGAATAAACCCTAAACCCCCTAAACCCGAAACTCTAGAGATGTGAAACACCCCCCAAGCCGTGAAAATTGAAGCTTGGGCACCCTTAGACGTCGCAAAGCTTAGTTAGTTGTTGAGTTCATAAGCCCCCAAAAAACGGTTTAGGGTTTAGGGTTTAGGGTGTTGCTTAGAGGCTTAGATGTAAACAAGAGAAGCGATTCAGGGCCCAGAGACTCCAAGATCCCTTAGTTAAGGAATATATACCTTAAATCATATTAAGGACCCTACTATAATTTAAGGAAGATTCCTTCATTAAGGGATATTGGAGTCTCTGGGGGGATAGGGTTTCAGGTTTTAGGTGCTTTGGGCTTTTAGGGTCTCCCGTTCTAAGCCGGCTTGGCTTAGGGCTGACGTGCTTCGCCAACCTTTCTGCAAAAACACCGATACGCCGGAAGCTTCCCCTGATATACTCAGAAGTAGACTGTAGTACTCTCTTCAAAGAGTCGTAGTACCTGCTCGTACACTTGATCTACGGTGGTTCAGATAACACCAAGTTCTACAGACGAGCTGGTACTACTAATCCGAAGGCATCCATCCCTATTGTCAACCCCCTGCTACGACTCTAGTCAGCATTGCCTACTATATGCTGCGCCTCCTAGGAGCTATGCTCAAACGACTTTCTGTCTGATGTACCCGAAAAACCCCCAAAAACCTAAACCCTAGCACCCTAAAGCCCGAAACCCTACCGTGCGCCTTCCAAACCCTCAGCCAGCTCGAGTTGTCTCGCAGCCATCTGAGAATGGAGCCTTCGCTTCAGGGTTTAGGGTTTAGGGGTTTAGGGTTAGGGTTTAGGGTTTAGGGTTTAGGGTTCAGGGGTTTAGGGTTTGGTTTAGGGTTTATGGATATGGGAGTGTAAGGAAGCGATATACCTGTGAATCATAGGAGGTATGGCCTCCAAGGTATCAATACGCGCGTTTTGCAGATTCCGGGACTAAACCTTAAACCCCTAAACCCCTAAACTCCTAAACCCTAAACCCCTAAACCCTAAACCCCTAAATCCTAAATCCTAGACCCAAAGCCTTGAACCCTAAACCGCACCTGGATTCGAGCTCTTTCGCGTCGGCGCCGACTTGCTCGAAACGACTCTGGACCTGGTGGGCGCTTCGCTTTTGCTTAAAGTCTAGATCTTGGGCTGTGTTTTAAGGCTAAGTTGACTTCACGGTTTAGGCTTTAGGGTCTTAAGGTTTCGAGGTTTAAGGTATGTATTTGGGGGTGTGCATGTGCGTGTGCGGTTGCAAAGGCGCCCTATCAATAGGATAAGGTTCAAGGTTTCGGGTTTAGCGTTGTGAGGGTGGCGATGGAACTGCGTTCAAAGTCTTGTCAGGACCCTAAACCCTCAATCCTAAAACCCTAAACCCTATAAACCCTAAACTTCCTAAACCATATAGGGGCTTTAACAACAAGAATGGGGTCCAGGTATGATGCTGGGGGATGGTACGAGGACTGATTATAAAAGAGACAGAATTACTAATTCGCCAGATCTCTCTTTCTATGGAAACATATTAATCTAGGGGCTTTAACAGCTAGAATAGGGTTTGGGGGTATATTGTTAGGGGCTCACGGTAGAGGGTTTCAGTGCGTTTGATGGTTTAGGGTGAAGGCCGATTCGGAAGTTTCATGTCAAGCGTTGCGAAGGTCCTCTCGGGGCTTCTGTACTTGTTTAGGGTTTCAGGGTTTAGTCCTGATCTCTGGCTCAAGAAGTCTGACGTCTTAGAAGGTAAGCACAGCAGCATACTCTGCAGACGCCGAGAACACCGATCGTGAATCTAGGTCAAAGAATTGTGTCGGATTCAAGGTTTCGGATAAGGGTGTTGGTGTAGGGTGTAGGGCTTGCGGTTGCGGACACCAAGGTCTGGCAATTGCGACCCATGTTGTTGCCACTGTGTCTCCATTTCGTTCTGACGGAAATCGCTCTCCAGCCGGATCCGGCATGCGGGCTCATGCCTTAAGCAGTCCCCCTCCAGTAGAGAATCGAAAGATCGAGGGCTTGAACCACAAATCTGCAATCAGACCGGGACTTGT